AAAAATCGAATAGGGAAAATTTCGAATAGTTCAGGTTAAAAATCGAATAGGGAAAATTTCGAATTGTTCAGGTTAAAAATCGAATAGGGAAAATTTCGAATTGTTCAGGTTAAAAATCGAATGGGGAAAATTTCGAATTGAGTTCAGGTTAAAAATCGAATAGGGAAAATTTCGAAATGAGTTCAGGTTAAAAATCGAATAGTGAAAATAGCGCATCCCCGATTTAAAAGCCTGGGTTTATGGGTTATTTTGTCTAGCAGCCCAAAAGTAGAGTTCAGCTTATTTACTTGTGATTGCCTTGTGTTTTGAGGTTGGTAATTGGAGTTCATCGGGACTTATGATAGCTGGCGAGGCAGAACAAAATAAGAAATCTGATGAAGTTGTTCCACTACAAAAACTGAACAGGAAGCTAATTGTGGTAATTGCTAAGGTAAGAAATATTTGTAAACATTAATTATATTGTCCCTCGATAATCTATCCTTCCTTTCCCTTGTAATCATCTTTTTTTCTTTTCCTTCCCTTCTTTCCGTCCTTCGATCGAACAATGGGCACCCACTCACTCTCCCTCCCTGTCTCTGTCCTCAATTCATCCATCTATCTATCCCACCAACCACCCATCCACCCACCCATCAATCATTCCACCAGTCAGTCCACCCATCCATTCATTCATCTATTAATCAATCTATCTATCCCACCAACCACCCATCCATCCACCCACCCATCAATCATTTCACCAGTCAGTCCACCCATCCATTCATCCATTCATCCATCTATCCACTAACACTAATACAAACACAAACACACATTTATCCGGGATTCTCTTCTTTTTCCCCTCCTTCATTTTAGTTACATTTCACCATTACTGAAAAATTTCCCATTCAATTTCTCAGGATCCCCCATTTGCATTTTCCGTCAAGGATCCCAAAACAGGACAAGAAAAGTTCGAAGGTTACAGTATTGACCTTGTTGATGCTCTTGCCAAGCTGTTGTTTTTTAACTATCAGATCGTCGAGTCACCAGACGGCAAATATGGCGGGAAGCTACCTGATGGCACTTTCAATGGTATTGTTGGAGAACTCACTAAACAAGTAAGTTTTATCGTAATTGGCTTCGTACGAGTTAACACGTAGTTACTGCGGAGAGCGGTTTTTCTTGGAGCTGGGTTAGACTCTTTTAGAGTAGAGCGGACAGCATTGATTTACTTTATTGGTGGGGTATGGGTGGAACATCAATATCATCTGCATAAATGTAGGCTAAAAAAGCAATAGAGACGAAGGTAAAGGACAATGTTTAATAATGATGATGATGATGATGATGGTGATGATAGTGATGATGATGATGATGATGATGATGCTGTTGGTGATGATGATGATGGTGATAATGATGATGATGGTGTTGGTAATGATGATTATCTTGGTGGTGATGATGATACTATTGGTGATGATCATGGTGGTGATGGTGATTGATGATGGCTGTGGTGGGGATGATGATGATTTTGGTGGAGTAAATGCCGATAGTTGATAAGGATGATGATGGTGTTGGTGATGATGATGATGACGACGATGTTGTTGGTAATGATGATGATGACGACGATGGTGTTGGTGATGATGAAGATGAAGATGATGATGATGTTGGTAAGGATGTCTAATGGTCATAATGGCTGTGATGATGATGATGGTGATGGTGGTATTACCGATGATTGATAATATGATGGTAGTATTGTTGATAACGATGATTAATGACACTGTCGGTAGTGTTGATGTTGGTGGTGATGGCAATGATTGATGATTGACGAGGATATAAGTTATTTAGATAGGTTATGTTGCATTTTTCTTTCCAGAAAGGTGACTTTTCCACGTCCCCCCTGACAATCACCTCAGACAGACTACAGTACTTAACATTCAGTAAGCCATACATGCAGTTCACTATGGACTTGATTTCGAAGAAGCCCAAGGAACAGGGAACAGATGTTCTTGCCTTCATGATGCCTTACTCCATCCCAGTATGGTTGATGGCCCTTGCTTGCCTCGCTTTCATGACAATAATGCTGACAATCATCAACCATTTCAGCCCTTTCAGTCACAAGTAGGTCATTATATATTCAGGTGACGTCATTGGCGCCATATTGGTTGACTTAAACAATATACTTTGGATTTTTTTTGTTATGTCAACCACAATGTCAGCCTCGTGTCACTTCATTTTGGGCCCGGTTAAACGAGGGGTGGATAGCGCTATCCAACGGATAAATCTTATCCAGTGGATAAATTTATTGGATAACACGTACAGCATCGACTTATCCACTGGATAAGGATTTATCTGCCAGATAGCGCTATATATCCACACTTTGTACAACAAACCTCTGGTGAATAGAGGTTTTGCACCTCCGCGTGACGGCAGCCATGTTAGATGACGGTGACAATATGATCGTTTTACATGCGAAAGAATTCGATTCCTGAGAAAAAAGAGATTTTATTGTTCTGCCATCTAACCACAGGTAGCCCAAGCTGTATTTTGCGCGTGGGCACGTGATGGTGCAAAACCTTTATATAGTTGCACAGCACGTATGTAGAGATGCATATTATCTTGACGCTTACAAAGAGAGTTCTTCCTGATATGAATTAACTCGAAGAGCTAAGCAAGGACCAACAAAATAAAGTACTAATAAAATGAAATGAACGATTGACTAGTACAGTGCATGCCATATATCCGTGAAAACATTTGTAAGAAATTGTATGAATTTGCACAAACAAGTAAGTTTAATAGATCGTAGACCTACAGAAACTTTGCAGTAATAGGCCTAATCGGCTAACGTGTTGCTATGTACGTTACCACCCAATTCAAACCTTCTGGGAATAGAAGCGTTGTCGCTACGAATTCAACTGTGAATCCAAAATATAACGAACAATGAAACTTAGTCCCATGTGGTTTGAATTGGGTGGAAACGTTTATAGCAACACGTTAGCCGATTAGGTCTATTTGTACAATTTTGTTAGTTAATTTTTTTATGGATATATGGTATGCACTCTAAGAAAACGAGAGACTTAAAAAACATATTTTAAACACAGATTAAAAAATGTTCAATGATTCGATTCTCCAACAAATTCCCTTCTCTAGGCATGGCGATAATGATGGCACTGGAGACGAGTTTAATATTTTCAACAGCTTTTGGTTTTCCTTGGCATCAATGTTGTGTCAGGGGGGTGACAACACACCCAAATCTCTCTCAGGTATGAAGCATGAAGCATCCTATTACATCTATTATTTCTTTAGTTGTTGGTTGTTCCTTCCCACCCTAACCCCCTCCCTCCCATCCTAATCCCCTCCCTCCCACCCACCGTCCATTCATTAATCACTCATACGACTGTCCGTCTTTTTTCAATTTCATCCATCCAGCCACCATCCATCTATTTGCCCGTGCTTCCGTCTCTCCATATGTCCATCAAGCCAACCATTCCTTCATCCATTCGTCTCTATGTTTCTTTCTGTTCGTCTGTCCGTCCCACTATCTATCAATCAGTCTACTT